TTGAGCTAAACTAAACTCATCCCCACTGGCTCTGGGTGCATCATTCCCTGGAGGGCCTTGAAAAGCTTTGTCTGGTGGCCCCCCCACCCTTCTCTGATGCCTCCTGCCTCAGTCAGCTCCCTTAAGCTGTCCGTTCAGAAGCACCAGTGGCTTTGAGCTCTGAAACCCAGCCTTCCAACTCCACTGGGGCTCTCCTGGCCCACCTGGCCCATTTCCAAGCGGGGAGCAGAGCGATTGAGGATAATGTGTGGGATTTCATTCTGAAGGTGAAGATCTGGTTCATGACACCAATACAGATTTAGTGAAGAGACCCATGAACTAAGCGATTGATCGTTTCCTGGTGAGCCCTCCATAGCATCCATAACAGTCAAGCGTTATTCTCATTCTGATTAAGTCACGCTCAACCCCTCGATGCCACGCTTGCTCTGTGGCCGACCAGTGTTCCCGCCGCGGGTTCACCCAGCCCGTGCTTATGGAGCCCTTGCCCCAGACCAGCCAGGTGTGCTGCGCTGGATGAGTGACTCCTCCACAAGATGCCATCTGCTACTGTTTTGACATCTCAGATGCTTCCTCATGCATCTGAGATGGATCTTTCAATCCTAGTTACTGACATTAGTTTATCCTAACAAAGATTTGTTCCCAGAACTAAACAAAACTTTAAGAAACAAAAAGTACACCAAAGAAGAAATGGTTATTAATTTAGGTTTGTTGGCCACCTTCACAAACCAGGTGGCCAGGCCCCCTAAAAGTCAGTCATTACGGTCTCCAGTAGTCTAAAAATGTTCAGATCTGGACCAGCAGATGGAAACGGCATCAGCTGCTTTCACAGGGTAGCTCTCCTAAATACTCTCCCTTGTCAGTGAACCATCTAGATCTCTGTTCTCCTCCGGGTCCTGGGGAAAGTCCTGAGCTGGACAAGGCATATAGCATCTAAAGTGGACGTCTGCATCATTTCACAGCCTCTGGTTGGCCAAATTGTGTGGCTTAAGTTGAAACCTGGTTTAGAATTCCTGCTGTCTCTCAGCCTTGGCTGTCTTGAGCCTCTGGCCTGGCTGACCACATGCATCTCTGGTGCTTTAGGTGGGGTTTATCTCTGTCTACCCCAGTCCTCTCACTAAGCCTCTCTCCTGGCCCAGCGAGGACCCTCTGTCACCCCTCCACTGTGTGTCCTGGGATCTCCTGTTGGTCCAGCCCTGCCTGTCATGAGGGAGCAGAGCTGAAATACCAAAGCCTGAACCTTTTCCACATCACTGCTTTCTTCTCAGTGAGAATTAGGTCAGAGACCGGGCCACTACCTGGGCAAATCACTCTTACTTGCTGTGGGATCTCAGGCACATCCCTTAAGGAAATTGAGGTTCAGAGAGGTTATCTGAAAAGATGCAGATAATAGGAACACAGGGTTGTTTGAGGATTAGGTGATATATATGGGCCACAGAGTATTTTGTATCTGTTACGTACTGATTTACAGATATCCCATGAATCCTACCATTTAATGTTTATGATGGGCCAGACCTTTTCCTACGCCCTTCACAGGTATTATCTGTTTAAGTAAATCCTCAGGGTAACCTCATGAGTCAGGTACTAGCTCCAGCCCCTAAGAGACTCTGACTTCATAATTGTAAAATGCAGAATGGGCACCTTACCTAAGACTCTTTAGTTACTAGTGTCTGAGCTGAGCTAACACAGGACTATTAAAAAGAATCTCACATGGTATATTTGCAGGTGTCGCAGAACCTGACAGATAATTTTGGCTGAAGATCTTTCTGGCATTATTCAAACCGTGCACTGTGAGCACCGTCACTCTGCTCACAATCCCTGAGCATTTTCAGTTATATTTTCAATTGTTGAAGATACAGGAAACTCAGCTTCTCTTCTCCCCACAATAACATCCTTCCCCCGGAATTTTCAACTCCTGAAAATACTTTTGGGAAATAAATTTTCCCCTTTCACCATCCATCCCTCGCACTCCGGCAGGGCCCTGGGCTCTCCCCCTGGGCGCTCCCTGGGACGCGGGCTGGCAGGAGCCGACCTTCTAATGCAGATGCTGAGTTAGGAGAGGCAGCTTCTCCCCATCCATCAATTCTAACTGCATTCAAACATTTTCAATATGTGGGTTCCCTGATAACTTCCAATGTATGGAAAACAAAATAGAGGGAAATGATTATTGGCACAAAAGGGGGAAGCCGTAAATCTTCAGATCAGATACAGGACAGATTGGAACAATATGGGTTCCCCAAGGTTGCCATGATAATGCACCTAATAACTCTCCCTGGGCAGAGAGGCAATCTGCTTTCAATCAATCTCGCTTTTTCTGAGCAAAAATACCAATTATGTTGAAGGAAGATTTTTTCCCCTCCCTTTTTGATAAAGACTGTTCTCTACCCCAGAAATCATGCTGTAGCTAACAGACATATATTTTAAATTGTCTAGAATGGTATTGGACAGCTAACACCAAATGAGAAAAGTCAATCTTTTTTTTCCCCCTCTCTCTCCTGCCAACATTTGTCTACTTCTTAAGAGAAGTGAAAGCTAATTAAAGGCTTAAGGGATAATATTGATTGCATTGGAATATATTTTATATGTACCCAGCACATTTTCAACTAAGAGAACCCTGACTCTTTCTAAGGCCAAATAAATCAGCTGAGTGAGCCTTTGATTCAAGGGTGAGAGGCTGAACTCATCTCCTTCCCTTCCACTTCTCATACATCTGTCCCAGAGATGAATGGCTTTTGAAGAGGAAGAGGGGATGCTGGCAGATGTTCATTCAGTGCTTTGCGTACAGGGTAGGAAGGATGAATGTGCAGGCATCTCCCTGGCCCTCTCATTGATTCGAGTCCAGCCTTGAATAATAACCAGGCTTATGCTGGCATAGGACGGTGCGCTTTGCAGAGCCCGGGGCAGGAGGCTGGCTGGGGTATTAACCTCTCAGTTCCCTCATCTATTGAATGGGGATAAGAAGCTTGCCAGGGATCACACATCCGCGGTGGCAGGGCAGGGACGCAAATCTGGCTGCCTTCATATCCTGGTGGAACCAGCGTCAGTCCTCTGAAAGGGCCCTTACGCTGGATCACGCTGGTCTTGTTTTCCATCAGGGAACTTTGTGGGTAGAAAGAATCAGAATTGCCCCAAGCTGTCCCACTGTCATTTGTGGAGGGGTCAGGAGAGAGATCCTGTTTCTCAGTCACTTTCTGAACACACTTGGCAAGTTCAAAATGAGAAGTCTTATTCAGATCACGCAAATCCACGTGCAGCCTGTGTTTCTATATAAATGAGCACGTGCCTCAAGAAACATTTTAAGGGATGGAGTGATAAAAATGTATATCACCCAAGTGTTTCAGTTACATTGTGCATTCTGGCATACTGTGCATTTTAGGAAGGCGCTAGTCACATGGGTTTTGAACATAAAATTTGGGTGGGTGGCCAAGGGACTTCCCTCAACCCGGCAGGGAGCCCCGTGATCCTGTTCAAACATCTTGTCTGCGGAAGGCACGGACGCTGTCCCCTCCCGGGACGGCCTCTGCGTGCCGGTGGCTGAGTGCAGCTCCGTAACAATAACAGTCCATAATGGTGATATTATTAACTGCTCCGTGCGTATTATTGATTTACTCTCTGTTCTGCATCATTATCCCTTCACCAATGAGTTTACTGCATTATTCTCACCCACTTAGTCAAGCGCCAAATTACAAGGAAAGGGCAGGCTCTCGTAATGGCATCTAATGGAACGCTGCAGAAGTGAGCATCATGCCTCCGATTACGGGCTGCCTCCAGCCAGTGCGCTCTCCGCCCTACTGGAATGCGCACAGAGCGATTATGAAGTGCCAGGGACCTGGCCATTTTACATGTTCCCCGTGGAACGGCTGTGCTTCGTGTTCGCCACCTGCCCATGCCTCACAGCCCACCAGGGAGTCGGCCTCTGTCACCGTCAGCCCAAGGGGCACGGGGACCTGGGCTGCGCCCTTGCAGCAACCTCTTTACTCAAGCCAGCGGGTTTCATCTGCACAGCCCGTCCCGATGCTTGGCCCTGGCGCTCACTCTTCCACCCGAGTGCTGAGACCTGATCGAGCACCGTGTGGCCGATACAAGTGGGCACAGTAGAGCCTGGTATCAAAGTCAGCTTGGCCCAGGAGCCCAGAGTTGTTGAGGGGACTCTCATTCCAACAGTTCTGGAAGAGGGGCTCCTCTTTCCAGGGGGAGCTGCCATCTCTAGAAACAGAAGTCCAGACCCCCAGGGACGAGGCAAACAGTGCCAGCCTCCACTCTTCCCAGCTTCTCCCCACCTGGAGGCCGATTCCTTTGGCTCTCAGAGAAACACAGGGCGCCCTAAGGAAGCAGCTGTCTGGGGACACAGATCCGTGGCTGATCTCCGATTCCATAGGCGTCCCATCCCCATTTAGCCTGAGTAATGCTCACTTACTGTAAAGTGTTACATGCCCCCATTGTCGGAGGAGTTATGGCGGAAAAATGCAAAATTTTCCTTTTTACTGCTTATGGCCAGCAGAGCCCATAACGTGTCAAGCCGCACATTAGCCACCCTGATAGAAGTTCGCTTTCTTACCCACAAAATCCTCGTCTCGGCAAGATTTGTTACCTCATTACCTGATAAGCTCTATGTCATAAACCAAGACTCATTCAGTAAATCTCCCGGGAGGGCGCTTTGTGGGCAGAAAGGGAGAGATATGAATCTGCAAGGGACTTGATAATGCAGCATTTAAGCGCAAGCATAATGTCACTTATTGTTAAATGCATAAAACCACTTGGCCAAACGGTTGGGCTTTTAATAGGATTTCGTGCAGCATCAGGTGAGAAGCCATATGCCTTTCGCGTCGAGGAGTCGCTGAGCACCTGCCAGCACCGCCGCTTTGCTCGCAGCCCTCTGGGAGGGGAGCTGGGCTTTCGTGGGGGCCTGGGGGGGAGATGATGCTTTCCTGCGGCTGCGCTTCCTCTGTCCTGCTGGGCCCGGGGGCCTGGGCCGCCGCCTCTAACTGGCCTCTCCCATTCAGGCACATTGTGGTCTGTGGACACATCACTCTTGAGAGCGTCTCCAACTTCCTGAAGGACTTTCTGCACAAGGACCGGGACGATGTCAACGTGGAGATCGTCTTTCTTCACAAGTAAGAGGCCCCTGTGGTTCTGAGACCCTCCACCCAGCAGTACACCCCGAGGGGGCACCCCGAGTGTCTGCAGGAGTGGTGGTTTGGGGGCGACATGAGGGTGGGGCAGAGTTGAATGAGTCACGATCCCTCCTGCCCTCGTTGGAGAGGACCTGGAAAACCAACGGGAAGGGAGGCAACGCAGGCACCTGCCTCTGTGAAGGCGATTCTGGCAAATAACAGTGGAGTTGATCAGGGCTCACACACGCCATCCTGGCCCCTCAGCTGTCTGGATCTGTGTGAGCCAGGCACGTCCACAGTGTCTGGCATGGAATGTGAGCGGTGCGGTGTGGGCACTTTATGAGTGCAGGGGGGACACAGCGATCAAGGAAGACAACAACGTAACGGGAAGCAGAGTATACGAGGATAACNGGTGTGGGCACTTTATGAGTGCAGGGGGGACACAGCGATCAAGGAAGACACCAACGTAACGGGAAGCAGAGTATACGAGGATAACAACTGTGGTTCCCAGAAACCTCCAGTGGGGGTGGCTGTGCTCGTTGGTCACCGTGCATACAGCCCCGCCTTTAATCAACAGAGGGAGGGAAAGTACATGCTCTAGACCCAGAATAATTGATCTGAATTTTGACTCAACCAATGACTTGCTGAACATGTTACTTAACCTCTCTGGGCCTCAGTTTCCACATCCATAAGACGGGGACATCGTCATGGTTTCTACCTACCTCCTTGGGCTGTGGTGGGAATGAAAAGATGTGATCCATGTAATGCATGCGGAGCAGAAGCAGGCGTGCAGTAGCTGCTCAATGAATGTTAGCTGTTATTGTAAAAGACACAATACATTAGGTGACATAATCGGTTTAGAAGTTAGGTCTTAATATGTTTGTCTTACAGGTGAGGAAAGCAGGATGTCTCCCCTCTGCTCAGTGTTGTTGAGATTTTAAACTTTGTCTCATCCCCTTTTGAGTAAAAGGTAGTCTGCCATAGGGATGGAGGGTTGAGGTGCTCAACCATGTTGACATGGGTTGATCCGTTGTCTTTTATGGGGACGGGGCCATCCAGGGGCCAGTCATAGCGGCGAGTTCCCAGAGGAACAAAGCTTACGTGTTGCTGTTGGCTCCATATGGCATTGACCGCCCAGGACTCAGTCTTGCTCTGAGAGCCCACTGAGGTGGTTTTCCCTCCAAGCTCCCATTCTGTGCATCTTCTTCCTTTGGGCATTTGTTCACAGAATACCAAACTGGTCATCATGTTTGAGCACCAGCATTTTTCTTCTTGGCACTGACTTCTCCAGGTTCTGAAAAGACCGGTCAGGCCATGGGCCCAGGAGCAGAACCCACAGATTAATTCAGTGCTAGCCACTGATTGCCCGCTGTGGCGCCTGCCTTCTGCTGAGCATTTTAGAAGGTTCAAGAGATGTATAGTGTGCAGGTTCTGCCCTCCTGTTGGTTGGACATTTCAAGATGAGCACATATGCAACATCAGAGCACATCGATCCTACGTTAACTGACTGCAGTCAGTGTAATCAGACTGGCTTGGGGCATCTGTACCAGGGAGAGACCACCGCTTCTTGCATTACGAGGGCAGCCTTCAGGAAGGAAACACGACTGTGCTGGGTCTGGAAGACTGGTCAGGTTGGCACAGGCACTGCTCTTCTCTCACCCATAGCTTTAGTCTGATCAACAGATGGGCTTCTAATGTTTCCATTGTTAGGATTCCCCTGTGTCCCAGCATCTGCTAGCATCAGCATCATAGTACGTGGCCCAGTTAATTAACCTCTTGAAGCTTTGTGTCAATAACATACCTTTCTCTAGGGTTGTTTTGAGGTTTACATGAGTTGTTAATACTTGTCAAGTGTTTAGAATGGTGTCTGCCATGCAGTAAATGCTCAGAATATTAAAAATTATTATGACTCGGTAGATTTAATAAATGTTAGTCAAGTGTTGGTTAGCACAGTCCTTGGCACCTAGTAGGTTCTAACTAAATATCATCTCCTCCTAGTGCCTGGTATAGTACCATATAGAGAGTTGGTCTGTTCGCCTCTGCAGAATTAATGAATGAATGAGTAGGTCAATCAGTGTTTTAATCTTTGTCATCCAACGGGAAAGTTGTCTTTACAGATCAGCCCTAAGAATTATGAACAGTGTACATACCTGTGAATCAAGACCAGTACTGAGAGTAAATGAAGTTTGGGTGTGGCTGCTCAGAGGTGGCATTTGGGGGGATGAGTCCATGAGGAGGAAAAGCAGGGAAAAGGCTTTTGATGGAGGAACAGCAGGAGGCCCTGCCAGGGGGACCTTTGGCTAATTACAGCCTCAGTTTCCCTGTTCATAAAATAGGAATTCCGTTCACCGTGGAGTTGAAGATATTTGTAAAAGTCTGGGTCTGTTTATTTCACCTTGGTGCCGGTTTTGGTTCTTTTGGGCTGGGGTTTTACCTCTCTTGAGTGCAAGCCTTTTATTTATGGCAAGAAAGGGAGCTGCTTGGAAGGCGAAAACCTCTTCCCAGGTCTCCCTCTGTGGAGCCGTGAGAAGGCGGCCACGGAGGCTGAAGTGCCTGCATCTGTCGTACTAATGGCTGTTTCTTCTCTCCCTCCACAGCATTTCCCCCAACCTGGAGCTTGAAGCTCTGTTCAAACGACATTTTACTCAGGTGGAATTTTATCAGGGTTCAGTCCTCAATCCACACGATCTTGCGAGAGTCAAGGTAAGAAGGAGCGACTTCTGCTTTTACTCCATCTAAGAGGGGATGCCTGACTCTGTGCTGAGGAGACCTGCCTCCCAGGATGGCTAAGAGCCACCTCCCAACCCCTAATGAGATAAGTCAGATACCTCCAACCTTGACGTCACCCTTCCATTGGTCCCAGGGCTTGGTTCTGCTGGCTCCTGCTGGACCACCTGTGAGGATTCCGCACTTGAAGCTGTTGGAACATGAGACTTGCTCTGCTAGCTCCCTCAGTGTCAGCATTGCTAAAGGAAGTAGACCAGTTCACGGACTCCATAGTCTCACAAACAACATAATCATCAAGCTGTTCCCATCTTGAATACTTAAATTGGACTCAACATAGCTCTGAAATCTATTATTTATATCAGAAAGGAACAGTAAGGCTAAAATATAAAATAAAACTTCACCAAGCCATAAAACATTTTGAGGTTTCTTCTCCCCCCCACCAAAGACTGCGGTGTAAAACTAAACATACAGGTATTTGGTAATGGGCTAGTCTTTCTTTCCAGAACCTTCCAAGGCAGAATCTTCTTAGGAAGCACACCTGAGGCTTATAAGGGAATGGGCACAGCCAGATGGCATCTGCTACTTCACTCATTACATACTGATTTTGTAAGCACGCTCAGTGTTTGCATGCCAATGCGTATATGTTGAAATAGTGAACCCATTGACGTCTAAATGCTAACTGTGGTCATCACATCATTCAGTAAGTAATGTAATTGGAAAACATGAATAAGCTAAAAGGACTTGGGTAAGTTTTTTGGATTATTAAAGAAAACCAGAGACACTGACATACCGTGGAGGAAGCCATGCCCTCCCGGCAAACGCATGGAGGGTCTGCTAAGTACAACATGCCAAGTAGGACAGATTGCAGGCCTGAGGCCTGAGCCAGCGTGAGAATTCCTACAGAGTCCAGTTCACTGTATGTTTACCCAGACATGAACCAAGTTATGGCTAATGTGAAAGCCTGTGAGAACTTAGAGGAATAGTTATTGTTCTTGGACCTAATTTCGATGTAAGCAGTTATTAGCACAACTCATGAACCCCTCAAAGGAATAAATTATTTGGGGCTCATGTTTAGATAAGTCAGTAGGTTATAGCGTGAGATCGTCTGTAACACATCATTTCATACATATAGATCTGCTGACTTTTGAATATCTGAATGCCAATTGAATACTAAGCAGTGCTGAGCTGTTACCTGATTCAGGGCTCTCATTTCCTTTTATTCCCCAATTAAGATGTGAAAAAGTTCGAGGAAGGATTTTGGAGTCTAAATTACTGAATCCCCAACTCCTCAGTTATCTTGGTAACCTATGAGGGGGTGTTTAGCCCACCTAACTCCATTTCCCACCTGGAAAATTTAGGATGATGGTGCAGATGGTGGGGAAGGTAGGCTGGGCTGGGGAGGATTGAAAGTCTTAGTTAATTGTTATTTAAAGAAATCTGGAAAGTTCATAGGTAAGACTATGCAAAATAAACAGTATAATTACCAAGGTACATGCTCCCTCCCAACAGCAATAAGATGAATTATTTATATCATAACAAGAACTTACAACTTACATTTTAGACAGAAACTATCATCTCTTAGGATTCTTTAATTTTTTTTTTTGCAAAGCACCAGGTTCCCCAAAGCTGTTAATAGAGAGAGACTGCCACCAAGCATGGCTGTTTATGCGTGTGTGCTCTGTGCTTTTCCTTTCCGTGTCTTAGATAGAGTCAGCAGACGCGTGCCTCATCCTTGCCAATAAGTACTGCGCTGACCCTGACGCTGAAGATGCCTCCAACATCATGAGGTAACCTCAGGGGGTGGGGAAGGGAAGGCTCTGGGCTTGGTGCTCTGAGGCCCGCTCGCTTGCTGCCCCTTTGGGTCCTCTGCAGAGCACCATCTCCCCCATTAGCTGCCCCACAACTTGCCACCTGCATAGGCCTGGGGGCCTCTGAGGCTGTGGTGGGTGTGGAGGGTACTGACACGAGGCATCGTTCACATGAAGTTCACCCGTGGAAGATGGGAGCCCTAGGTCTTCACTTTGAGATCCTTGAAGGACCGGAAAAAAAGAAAGATACATTTAGACGGGCCTGGGCCTGAAATAAGGTGCCATGTTTCCTAAAGGGGGATGGACCTGAGATACCTTAACTGGGAGTGATTTTATCTCTCAGGAGACATTTTGAAATATCTGGAGACGTTCTTGGTTGTCATAACGAGGGGATCGTCCTGCTCACGTCCGGCTTACTGGTGGTTAGAGACCGGTAACGCTGCTCAATATCCTATAATGCAAAGGCCAGCTGCCACAGCCGAGAATTCTCTGGCCCCAAATGTCAACAGTGCCCAGCTGAGTAGCCCAGTGTTAGAGCTTTCCAAGTGTGTCTATACTATAGCACATTGACTAATTTCACCCACAAAGAGGAGTTCACCAATTAGTTTGTTTCAACCAGTCTCCCCAAATGAAATACTTTTGTTCACTGAAAGCTTTCTCAGTGCTTTTAATGCTAATATGAATTTTTAAGATAATGTGCTATAGAGAATTTCTTACACCTATTTGACTTCAAGCCTGCCCCCTGCCCCTGTTTTTACAGAACATCTCCTGGGACGGGGGCCACTCTTTGGAGAACACTTCCCAGTACCCTTCTTGCAAATGGGCTAAGCCTGTTTGAGGCCCTTCTATGCCCAACTTCTGGTCCTTTCTCTTTCAGAAGAAAACTGTTGTTTTTGTTCTTTTCATAGACTCATATTCCAGACATCTTGTGACTATGAAATGCCTAAAAAGTTCAGATATTTTGCTCCAGATAGTTAAAGCCCTTTTGAAATCTCTGCTGCAGCATAAATCGCAGAGTAGTTAAGAGAGCTGGGATGGACTAATAAGGAGAACCTTCTGGAGAAGACATGAACTAAGAGAAAACATTTCACTCCCACTACGTTCCCAGGAACTCTTGCTAATTGCAAACAGCCATCTTCTGGATCTAGACAAAGATTCCCTTCTCCCTGCAGCTTGGTTACTGTGTCCTGGGAATTCGCCCGGGCGGAGGGCTGGGAAGTTGCCTTTGCATAATCACAGTGCTCCCATCTCCTTTCTGTGCCTTTAATCAGTGGCCCCAAGTGACAGGAGTGTTCCCATCAGTGAGGTGGGGGAATTCCTCCATGCCTTTCGGATGAGCAGGGCCTCCCCTCAGCATCTGGTCCTTGTGTCTGGCAAGCAACATCTGGCGCAATGTTCTCTTTCCACTCGCTTTCCTTTGGCAACATGATTAGTGCAGTCGTTTTAAGGAAGTTGATGCATGAGCTCTTGTAAGCATCGGGCTTGCCAGGCTGCGGGGAGGTGGTGGTGAGGACATGCTCCCACACCTGGGGCCATCCCCTAACGAGTCACAGCTGGAAGGTGACCACAACAGCCTCAGCTTCAGGTGGGTCAGTCTGCCCTCTCCTTGAACTAAGATTTCAATCCTTTGCCATGTTTCTGTATCATTTGAAGTGATATAAATGTAGACTTTAAAGAACTAGGTCTGATTGTCTTCAAAATTTCATCCAAAATATCAAAAGGAGGTGAAGCTTAATGTGTTGACCCCACAGACAAATTTGAGGCTGGCACTGCCTTTTTTTCCCTTCAGAAGTGACTAATTGAAATGATTATAACTTGGAAATGGGCATTTCTCTTCATCATGATATTTTATATAAGCCCTGACTGTGGTAGAGTTAATATGAAGACATATAGGTTACCAGGGTGATAGACATGATGCTAAGGCATAAAGATTACCGAACAAAGGGAGTGTCAGAAATGTAATTGAGCCATCCATCAACCAGAATCAGAACCAAGGCCCAGGCAGCAAAAGGAAATGGGAGGTTCAGGGTTAAAAATGGGCTCTGTCTTTCCCTTATTTGTATAATCCTCCTTCCTCCTTAATTTAATGAGACCAATCTGCCCCGTTTGAAATTAAAATGTCAAAGATCCATTTGAAATGAGCTAATGCAGAGAACTGGCTGATGCTGTGAACTGAATTCGGAGGCTGACAGAGGCTCCAAGTCCTTGAGTTATAAGCATGGGCCAACACAACACTTTCTCAAAAAGAAAATGAAATCCTTCAAGTGCAGAAGCCCAGGGTGAACTTGTGCAGGAGAGGCTTATGTGTGATCCGTTTCCTAAATTCACAAGGCGTAGCTTTTCAGACATGGCTGCTCCCTGGCTGCCTTTCTCCATCTCTGCATGAAAAAGGCATGAGGCTTAGCGTTTCTTGGTGGGGAGTTTGTGGGGGTGGTCACAATAAATGCACTTGCATTACTGATTAGGCTCAGGAGGTGGGCCTTTCTGTGGAATTCCATTCTCTGGCCTTCCTTGTCACAGAAGGAAATGTACAATGTCACCTCTGACAGAGTCGGTAATGACAAAAACCATAACTTACACGTGGAGAGAGCTTTTAATGATTTCAAAGCATTTTCACATCTGGTCTTTCCTTCTGCTGCTCATACCAGGCCTGTGAAATAAATAAAGCAGGTACTGTTGCCCCCAATGTCCAGATGAGGAAACAGTCACAGAGAGACCAGGGATTTCCTGAAGGTCACCCAGTTCGTTAGTGCAATAGCTGGGGCTGGAGTCCAGGTGTTTCGATCCCTCTGCTCCCTGCCCCTCCCCTTTTAGCACAGTGATTGTCACGGGAACGGGAGGGAGGGGGAGGTAGTAGCTGGTACTGAGTGTGGACTGAGGGCAGTTCGTAGGGATTTCCCCCTAGATCGTGACCTCTGAAAGGCCTTGCCCTTTATTCTAACAGCATCAAAGTCATCATTTAGGTGCTATTAGCTATTGAATGCTGAGCTATTGATCCCGTCCTGGGAGCCCTGCTTAGAAATCGTTTTTGTGAGTGGCCATGTGTGTGACAGAATCATTTGTCAGGTTGCTTGTTGGGATGGTCATTGCTGTCCCAAATTATTAACTCGGAGAATTGGACTCACAGCAGATTGTTTCTAGGCTCTTCCCCAGGGCATGAGAGTGGAAGCCTCCCTCGGCCCCATGAATGGAGCTTGCTTTCTTCAGATGCCTGTATAGGAATCAAGCCTTGGCACTTGCTCCAGAACCCCTGACCCCCAGTACACATACTCACATACCGTCCACCTCCAAGGCACTGCAGGCCTCTCTTCTCTTAGGCCCAGGACAGTCTGTGGCTATGCTGTGGTTTCTTTTTCACATTACCATGGGGTATGGTGACGGAAACACAGTTTAACTTGGCCCAGTGCCTGCAACCCCTCAGGATGGCCTTGGCTGCTGGGCCCACAGTCACTCCATTTGGTTGTAATCAAATTAATCTTCCCATCAGACTCCAAGGGTAAGGCAAACCCTGCCTCAGCTTTGATTTTTTTTTTCTTTTTCAGAGTAATCTCCATAAAGAACTACCACCCGAAGATAAGAATCATCACTCAGATGCTGCAGTATCACAACAAGGTAGGACAAGGAGAGCCTACCCCAGGCTCCCCAGAGATGCCGGTGGGGGCCCAGTCTCTCCTCCCTCACCATGCAGCCAAACACACATGAGTGCACGCACACACACACACACACACACACGTGCAACATAATGCGATCCAGAGGCCTGGGTAAAGAGGGTGGTGAGGACAGGCCTCCTTGGGACACTTCTTCAGTCCAACCTTGTTTGCAGTTGGTCACTGGATGGAAGCTCCTTCACATACTGATTCATTCAGGAGCATCCATCGGACCTCCGGGTTCAGAAATATTGATGCATTCTTAGATCCCATTGCAACAACTTCCATTATGTGCTGCACTAACTTCTTCAGTTGGTGTTTACTGAACACCTACTAGGTGGCCAACACTCTGCCTGACCCCTTAACCCCACATGGATATAGCGAAGGAGAAGTCCTATTTTGTTCCCTCAAGGGTTTAGTCTTCAAAGTTTAGAGTGTCCTAAATAGGACTTTTCTACCCAAGACCAGGTGACCTTGGGGAAACAGAACACGTGTTGGGAGGAGGATGCGGAGCATGACATTCTCAAATTCAAGATGAGAATCACATGGTTGAATTCAGGAAAATAGTTGGCTATCTAGAGATTCAACATAAAGGAATTTTCCTAGTGCCATAGTTTACAACAGGGATTGGAAAGAAAACCAATGTTGGAGTCTGTGTTGTTTCCCAGAGTCCAGTCTCATTGAAAGGCAATGGCTCCTCCACTTGAATGGTCATTAAACTCCCAGGAAAACAGCTTTGGGGGAGGGAAGGTGGCACCTTTCTCTGTTTGATGTGGAACCAGTCATCCCCTTAATGAGGCTTAGAAACCGGAGGCTGTGCAGTACCTGGAACCAGGTGTCCTGTCTGAACAAAATAACTCCCTGCTGGGTTTTGAGTGAGCGTGTGTCCCATCTTACAGGTCATATTCCCTACGAAATAGGCAGTCAGGTGACCTAGAGAAGACCCTGCTCTGCCAAATGAGCCAGTGCCATGCCATTATTTCTTAATTGCTGGCACGTGTGTCCCCATTTTGCTGTGTGGAAGCCCATCAGAGGCTGTTGTGGAGTGGAGCCTGCTGTCGGTGACTGGGCTACCACTCGGGTCTGCTGCCCAGTGCCAACCGTGGCCCAACCCTCGGCAGGTGGTTCCACCACAGAAAGTGTCGCTGCAGCCGGCGGGCTTGGTGGTGGGCACCCAAGGTCACAGTGTCCTGCTTGTCTCTGGAAAACCCAAGGACACTGAAGAGATGAAGTGAGGATGCTGGTAACTCACAAGCATCAATTTGGAGAAGTTTTTAAAGCAGCCCTTGTAGAATGAGGTGAATTTTCTCACCAAGGCTGTGGCCCGTGATGGCTCCTGAGGCAGCGACCTTTCCTTCTTCCATTTGAGATTTGAAATTGTCTTTAGTGTGAGAGAGCTTGAAGCTGTTGTTTAGATTGTTGGCTGAATTCAGATTGAATAGGAAAATTAATGTTGTATGTTTACAAAGGGATGTCAGTTTCTGCCTTTCTGCTTCCAGTGAGTGCTGATGTAGCATCTTCAAGAAATTAAGGAGAGTTGCAGCTATGAGATTCCTGTCAAACTCAGAGTAGCTCAACAGGCCCAGGGTCCAGATGGCACCTGGTCAGTATTCACATGATGTCAGCAAGCTCAGTGTCTTTCACAACCTTCTGCATTGTAGCTATTCAGAAACAACGGTGAAGAAGACATCAACAGATCCATGATTATTTGCTTAAAACACTTTTTTTTTTTTTTTTTAATATATCTTTGTTGATTTCAGAGAGAGGGAAGGAGAGGGAGAGAGAGAGACAGAAACATCAATGATGAGAGAGTCATTGATCGGCTGCCTCCTGCCGCCCCTGACTGGGGATCGAGCCTGCAACCCGGGCATGTGCCCTGACCGGGAATCGAACCCCGGTTGCCTGGATCCTAGGTCAACGCTCAACCGCTGAGCCACACCCGGCTGGGCTAAAACACGTTTTGTTTAGAGCCACTCGAGTCTATTTGGGTTTTAGAGTTTGGCAAAAAATCACTATGAGACTTTGCCCCTGGAAGATTAGGACGGGGGCAAGGGACACAGCAACTTTGAAAGGGGCTATTTTCTCTCACATGTCCTTCCTTTCTTCTGGAGAAAATAGGAAGTGGACCGGTCGTTATTAGTTATTTTATTCCTTGTAGACTTGCAAATAGGCATTCTTCACCCTGCTTTATAATTTTGCTGTTTCCTACCTATCCTTTCAGTGTGGCGTTCGCCCTCCAGACAATATTATTTTTCTTCCTCTCTTGGCATTTTCTTTTTACCAGAGATCTCTACCCATTAATACTCACTTTCAGGAAAGAACCTGGTACGTGAGTGTTAACTTACGTCACTATCAACATACTCCAAGGGATAGTTAATTCCATAATTGGACACCATACATAAAACAAAGAATTTAAATCCCCAGTGACCAAATGATGGTGGTATCCTAGGACCTAGAGGGGTATAGGAAAGCTGCCTATTTTCTTGTTTGTTTGTTTTTTTAAACTATATTTTTATTGATTTCAGAGAGAGGAAGGGGGAAGGAGAGAGAGAGAGAAACGTCAATGATGAGAGAGTCATTGATCGGCTGCCTCCTGCACGCCCCCGACTGGGGATCGAGCCCGCAACCTGGACATGTGCCCTGACCGGGACTCGAACCCCGATCTCCTGGATCCTAGGTCAATGCTCAACCGCTGAGCCACGCCTGGCTGGGCTGCTTTCTTGTTATGTCTCCATGTAAAACTGGTCCCAAGATTGTCATCATAATAATCTCAGACATTTGTGTCATACTTTATGGTTTTGAAAGAGTTTTGACATCCATTATCTCATTGACCATCTGTGCGTTTCGGCGTCCTGGTGTGACTTCAGACTGGGGCTCTAGGCTCTGACTCAGACAGAGCCGCTCTGGAGGGTACAAATTGTGGTCACTTGGCAGCCAGTGAGCTAAGAGACAGAACTGCCAACTACCACCTCCTCTTTATATAGAGCCACAACTCATTGAACCAAACTGTGGCTCCTCGGCTTAGGCCTCACAGAAGGATTGACATTCTCCAAAGTGGATGTGTTTAGAATCTGTGGAGAGAAACACTTGCAGCCTAGCCATCTCTGAGTATGGACAGGCTATGGCCCAGGAAATTTTCTGATTTGAGTGTAAATGTCTTGAATCTCTTCAAGGAAAGATGGCTTAGGACACCTTGGAAAAGTGTCACTCCTGATGATTTGGCTATTACTAGATCCTCCCCCCCGCCATCAGACTGCAGTGAAAGATGTCTTTTTCTCTGACCTGGAAGCCAAGTCCTGATGGCCTGATGAACATGCATGTCCTTTGAGCTTTCTCACTATAAACCCTCACCCTTGGGCAGTAGTGTTGAGGTGTTTTCTCTGACGTGACCTTCTTTGTCCTCATGGTGGCTCCCCCAGTGTTGTGAGAGATGGAACAGGGACTAGAATTCATATCTCCTGGTTTCCCAGGATGCTCTGTCCTACATTCCTTCTTCGTGAGACGAGGAGTGGCCCCATACAGAAGCCAGGCCCCTGGCCTGCTAGACTCTGCTCAGCAGGTCTCCTTCTCCAGGTTAGAAGGATTTGCCTCTGGATTCTGTGAAGCAGTGCTGGCCTTTCTCACTGGGCCCCAACTGCCCTCAGAGGAGAAAGGACAGAGTTGCCAGAAACAAAGAGCCTGAGTTTCTGGGTCAGTCTCCTCTCTTTGTTTCAGGTGCACAGAAGTCTCTGGTCCCAGGCTTTGGCCCATCCCTTGCGGCCCCCTGTCCCATGATTGCAGAAGATATGGGGCCAAGAAAGGAAGCCCGAGAAATGAAACCAGTGCCCCTCCTATGTAAATGTGTAAACTATATCTAAGGAACTCAAACCAGATGGGCACATGAGGGACCCCAGGCCTAAAAGCCTGGACTTTATACCTTGGATGGCACCTGAGGATGTGAGAGGCCCTCTTGGAAATGTTTTGTTTGAAGGTGCTGTGAAGGTTATGTAGTGTCTGACTGAGACTTAGACCACCCACATCTCCTTTCACACTTGCTGATTTAATTGTTTGTTACTTAGAATTAAATTCTCCTCATTCTTAGATGACAATGCAAATGAATATTTCTTTGCTTAGATGGCTGTTACTCTCTGCGATGTCAGGGAAGTGGAGGGGAAAGTCGTCTTAGGCCAGTGAAGAGTAGGGAGAAGAGTGGGGTAAAGGGTGGGGCTAGTTGCTGGATCAAGGCGATGATGGCGGAAGGTCTCTGATACTCAGATTGATGGAAACTGCCATCTGCCAAGGCCCACACACGGGACTGTTTTAACAGTGCTGTCATCGGGAAGGATGCTGTCATCTCTCCCAGGAGTAGACTCTGCTGGGTTAGGACACACGCAATTGTCACAGAGCTGGATTTTGCAAGAAGGAATTTCACAAGAGTGGATTTCTCAAAGCAGAGCATGGAGCCTTAGGACCACCCTTTGTTTCCACGATGAAGTCTTCTATCTCCTTCTAGTACAACTGTTTATATTGTCCCTAAAGTGAAGGGAAGCCTTCTTGGGACTCCTCCTATTTGAAGAAAAATAGTCACTTCAGGGCCCTGGAGTCTTGGCATTAACAGACCTAGAGGGTTCTCTGCCATGCAGAGCAAGGGGTCTTTCTGCTGAGACTTGGACACTTACTGAGTTTTAGGGACAAAGACCTTGCATTGGAGGCAGGCTTCTCCATTTGCTAGACAAATTATACCCTTAGAAATTTCCTTTAACAAACAAGCCCCAAATCACTGATTTCTTGTAACATACTCCAGGCAGCAGCCCCAATTCTGCCCCCTGCACCAGAGCAAAGCAAGTCTACTCTCTTTATCACAGCAGGACCCGGGTGTCCAGAGGTAGCCGTCCACCAAAGCGCGGCCCTTCTTCAGGCCATGCTGCTGGCTCTCTGAATTGTCCGTGAGAAAGCATTGTCTCCAGAACCCACATCTCTCTCTGTGCTTATCATTTTCCCTCTGGAAGTTTTTCAGAGGATCAGCTTCCCTTCCTCCATCTGACTGTTAAACTGGATCAGGTTCTCTGGAACTAGCCTGACCCGTTCACATCAGCATGGAACCTTTGTTCCCCTTGATCTGGAGACCATTTCTAACAAGCAGGCATTGGCTTTCTCTGCAATTTGTCACACGGTTGGCCTCTCTTTGGGTTTTAGTTACCCACACACTTAAGTTTTCTTTTTTCTTTTTCCTCATGTCTGCTGCCAAGTTAGGTCTTCTCATTTTGAATTTATATAATTGATTTTTCTTAACCTAAATGCTGTACTTGACATTAAGGCCTTTTAAATCTTTTCTGGTTGGTTTTCTTGCCCGTTTTTCTGACTCTGGAGAACTTTCTGAATCTTGTTTCTTTCATCCAGTGTATCATCTATGACTCTGCTTCGTGCCACTTAAACGTAATGGGCTGAGCGTGCCTCTGGGCCCTGATCTCAGTGGCTGACCTAACTGTTGAACGGGATCCGTCCATCTGCAACAGATTGTAACATGTCCACACCGTGATTTGCCTGATGATTTAGGGCAGTGCTGCTCAAAGTGTGGTCCCCAGCTCAGCAGCTCAGCATCACCTGGCGCTTTTTAGAAATGCAGATTCTCCAGCCTCACCCCACACCCATGGAATCAGAAACTGTGAGGGAAAGGGCAGCAGTGTTTTTGTTCAAACCTTCCAGGTGGTTCTGATGCCCTCTCAAGCTTGGGAACCACTTACCTGTAGTATTGGGTAGAAATACTACATAAAAAAGAAATAGAGAGATAAAAAAGGAATCTAAAATACACAGGCATTGGATAGTATTAGAGTCTATTTCAGGAGCCAGTTTATGACCAACCTAGCCAGACATCTTAGTAGCATGGGCCAAGAGGAATTTCCCTCTGGACTCTATTTAGCTGTAGGACAAACCCAGGGGAGGCCTCTGGCTTGGTAAGTGTAGAAGTAATGTTCCAGAGACATTGAAGTTTGACAAAGAGGAGAGTTGAGTGAAACACCAAGTACGGACCCAGGCAAGGAAAGGAAGGACAAGTCTGGATGACCCTGCTCAGTTGGGCAATGCATTTCCCAGAGGAGATTTTAAACAATTGAACATTTAACAAAGTAAGGTCTCATAACTGCTTTCTTTCCACAGGCCCATCTGCTAAACATCCCAAGCTGGAATTGGAAAGAGGGCGATGATGCAATCTGCCTCGCGGAGCTGAAGCTGGGGTTCATAGCCCAGAGCTGCCTGGCTCAGGGCCTCTCCACCATGCTCGCCAACCTCTTCTCCATGAGGTCATTCATAAAGGTAACGTCTTGTCCTATTAGAGCACATTAGCCTCGGATTCAATTTGTCGTGGGGTTGAGTAGAGAGCACAGCTTAAACTCAAAACAGATCGAGTGGCTTTAACCATGTTGGTTAAGGAGAAATTCCTTGTTACAGATTTGGGCAAGAGGCCAACTTCTTTCAAAATTATGTTTTTATTTTTATTTGGCACATCCACGGCCATTAAATGATTGTTCAAAGCACAATCCTCTCTTTTTTTAGATAAACCACATGTTTATCTATCAACAAAGCCTCCGCTGTTAAAACAAAAATATGATTTATATACATTCCATATGGCACCAGAGCGCCTAAAGAAAAGAATTATCATTTTGCTCTTTTACATCAAGTGGCTGGTGGACCTCTCACTGTGCGGATAAATGCAGACCATGTGTTTGTGCTGAAGCCCAAACCCCAACAACATAATTCATTTATTTATTTCTGCACAATCAAGGAGGCCAGCAGGGCTGACATGCCACGGTTATTTGAATGGAGAGTGAAACGATGAACTGAGTCCTCGGCAGCGGCGCCCTTTACGCCGTGAGACAGGCAGTCTGGATAAGCTCATCTCCTTGTCAGCCGGTTCACACTGCAGAGCTCACTGGGCAGCCACCCTCACGTGGCCCCTGCCTGCTCTACCCAACTCTGTCCTCATAGGCCAGGCCAGGCATGTTTCCAGGACATTGGGTTGAGGGTCCAGGCTCCCACTTGGAGGACCCTTGGAGCTCAGGGCAATGATAACACCAGCTCTTATCCTCGGATCATTCTTAGCCTCACCAGTCGAGGTGGCAGGCCAGTACAGTAAAACCTGTCTGCTTTGGGTCCCTCTGATTTGGCATTGGAGGCCATTAGCTCAAGATCGGGGCATGCATTGCCCTCCCTGTTACTCACTTATTCACAGCCTCCTTCCTGAATCGGTAGTGGTTGAGGTGGGAAGTTAGTGAGTCACCAGGAGGTCCCACAAAGGGAGCCTAAAGCTCTGAAGTCAGAGGTGGGAGCTTTCCACCTTCATTGCCATTGTTGCGGTATCCACTGCTAGAGGTGCGGTCTTGGTGGAGTTGAGGAAACAGCCCTAGATGCGGTGAGAGGGACGGGCGGGGAGAGTGGGGATGCAGGTGATGGGCTAACTCCATGTCAGTACTTGTCTCGAGCCTCCATGGGTTGTTGGGCTTAGAACAAGATATTTTTCTAGGTCCTTACCTGCTGTACCCACCTCATTTACATTATTTGGCCAATTAATAGTTAACATTCCTCTATGGATAAGAACAGATTTCTTGGAGTCCCTTCAATCACTTTAGCAATGGATGTCTTGATTAAAAAAATTCTTCTAGTCTCTATGTGCCCGAAGACCTCCACTTCACTGAAGTCCTGGCTCAGAACCAGCTCGGAGTAAGGACATTGCATTCCGTTAAAAGGCTCCTTTCGTCCAGGCTGCCAGTTCCCTGCCTGGAGGGGACAGAATGCAGGCAAAATGGAGGCGGCAGGGGTGGTCCCTGTGGTTGGACCTAGAGACAAGTCCCAAAGCCAGATGTAAGCTCCTGTCTCCCAGGGCTCTTCTATTCAACACAAGGAGCCCGGACCCAGGATCAAGAACTGTCGCCAAGCGAGTGTCTCTGGCTCGTTCAACCCAGCCCTGCTGGTTGCTCCCAGTAGGGAGTTGCCCACAGGACCAGGCCCGCGGTCTGAGGACCTGGACCCCGCTTCCTTGTGCTGATGTAACACGGCCTTGGCAGGGCCCCGCTGCACATGGGGCACTTGACATGCGTATGTTTTGATTTTGCGGTGCCTGCATGGAAACGAGAGCCACCTGTCAGGAAAATTAATAAAATGGATATGACGCTGATTCTCCAGTGTTATTACCAGCAGGGAGAAAGAACTTCTGTCCAACTTCCCTCAAGACCCTGAAAGGCCTTACCTCTGCAGCCAAGGACGCCCCTCCAGCCCAACTAAGCCCACTGCCAAGTTGCCATTTAGGAAGAGCCTGTGGGAGAGGCCTGGCCTGGCCCTGGTGTAACTGAAAACACATTTCCCTCCCGGGGTTGTGTTACTGTGTTGTTTCTGTCCGGGACCAACTCGTCACTGTTTGGGGGTAGCTCTCTGCATTTGGCCATGTGATATCCAGCATCGGTGTTGGAATTCACTAAGCGCATGACCTGGAAATAGCAAGGCTCTCCATCCTCTATTTTTCTCATTTAAAATAGGGACAGACTTAAGCACATGTTCCCCATTCTCTAGTGTCATCTCTGTGCACTTACCTTCCAAGTCGCAGATCCTTGTCCCCTTTAGTTCATAATAAACAGCACAATGATGCTTTCCTCGGAGATTTTTATATATTATCTCCCGTTTGAGGGGTCACAAAGCCTTCGCTCATTTTTTATTGGGGGCAGATGGAAAAGGAAATCTATAAATGGATTCTTGTTTACAGAAATTGCTTCCTTCCCCAGTGTCCCCCGTGTCCTACGCAGAGAATACATCAGCATTTCCACGGGGAAAGGCAGTCCTGTCAGGGTGGAGGGAGATGGGATGGGGCTTTGGCAACATTCGATCCCTTGAGAACACTTAGTGGTTCTGGAAGCCAAAGGTGGGGAGTGAGCTCACCCTCTCCCTTGCCCTGGGCAGGTACAGTGTCTGTTTCTTGGTCTGGCAGAATGCACTGTACTCGGTCCCTACTGAAAGAAGAGCGACGAGACTGAAACAGTGACGATACAACCCAGGCACAGTGACTAGCTGCCCCCCCGCCTGGGGCTTTTAAAGCCAAGACTGAAAGTGAGAAAGCTGAACAAGAGAGAGAGGAGCTACTGGTACATAGCAGTTACAAAAGAGGCCCAGCCCAGAGGTGCCGGGAAATATGGGGGAGCACCTGTTCATTCCTCCAGCAATGTCACTTTCAAAGGTCCTCACGCTAGGGCCCCAAGTCATTGCCCCTGAAAGCCTAGCTCCCCCATTGGATACATTAACTACGAATGGATTTAAAATTTGGGGAATCTATTTATATTTTTAGCCCACATCTTTAGGGTAATGAATTTTTTAAATTTGCCCTTAATTTGTTCCACTTAACCTTCAAGGCACGCTTTCTATAGTTTCTGGTGCGCTGGGGTTTGTTTAACAAATCCATGCTAACTTTATAACCAATACCTTTATGAAGGAGGCTCAGGCTGGCCAGTAGGGGTCCTCTGGCCCAGTGGCTTGTTGCTAGTGACGGGTTAAGTATTTTGTCAGAGATACCCAGTTTCAACCAAGAGTTCCCCTAAGGAGTGAAGGCAAATGTTCTGGTTCCTGTGACTTATCACCATCTACATTATCAATCCGGCCCGGGACATCCTGTTCACTTACCATTATCTGATCTCCTACCACCCGCCTGTCAGGTCCAAGTGAGAATCTTCCTAATGTCTTCCTTAAAGACCAAGACAATGAGTGTATTTAGCCTATCTGTCTGCCAAGGCCTCATACCTGAGTAAGTGGCCACACTTGTCCTCTACTTGGCTTCCTCACTGGGATGTAATTAAGATTTATTTATTTATTAACTTCTTTATTTTGTTTTAGAGTCTTACTGTGTAATACTTAACTTTCTCTGCAACATATCTGGTTTCACGTTGCTTTTTTTGTGGATTGTGCTGTTAATTCTTCCTAGGATTAGCTGTCCTTGGACATGATAAATTGTGTGTGCGGGCGTGGTGTGTGTTTAGAGGACGATTAATTCTTAAAATTTCTTTTCAGTCTACACTAAGCCTTCAAATTGAGCACATTTAAATTGTTCTCAGGATTGCCAACTATTTTAACTCCGCTAATCTAGTATTTTCTACATACACACACACACACACACACTCTCTCACACAGCCAGGAACATGACAAGCGTTCTGTAATTGTTTCTTGGTTGGAGAGATCAGTTATGAAAATGGAGAAATATGTGATACACTTTAAAAATGTTTCCCTGTTTTATAAGATTCGAAGTTGTGGGTGAAATTTACTTAATATTGATCTCAACACAGTCCCCTCCATCACGTTTCTACTTGTGAGAAAGGAAGTGCCAGGGAAATCAGGCCTGTGTTTTTCTGATTGTATCTTGGCTGAAAGGTGGACTTTGCTAGACTTAACGGTTTGTTCATTGTTGTTATTACCATGTTGAGATAACCTTTCAGCAACACATAATCCTAGCAATAATTGTAGCCAAGGGAATAATTTTTAATACTTTTATTTTGGGCTGTGTTTATGTGTGTATATATGTTTGAATATATGCGTATATAAAAACATGGTTTAGGGGCTGGGAATATAAATCAAGGATCGTTAATAATAGCTGAAATATATTAGGTCATCTCTATGTGCCAAGCCCTACGCTGTGTTTTATATGCATTATCTCATTTAATTCTCACAATTACCTTACCCAAACTTGGCGCTATTATTAACCCCATTTTACAGTGGTAGATACTGTGGGTTAAGACAAGTTCAGCAACTTGCATGAGGACATAAAGTTGGAATGATGAACTCAGTTGTTCGAACCCAGGCCAATTGGTTCCAGGTTCGTCCTTGGGTTTACCAAGAGGAAATAGTTCCAGCGATAAGAGGGAACCTTAGCTAGTGCTGTCATCTTAGCACAAATCTTAGCTTTCTGTAGTTTATTTTATGGGAACATGGTGGGAGTTGGTTCAATAGAGATTCCCGGGGCACCTACCATATTCTAGGCAGTGTGCTAATCAGACTGTCATCCTTATGGCTAGGAGGCACTGATAAGCTTCCAGAAGCTTCTGTTCAGGCTGGGATGTGTAGGCACATGTGTGCATAGCCCCATCCTCCAGGTCTTCTTGGCTTTTCTCTCTGGCCATCTCTGCAAGGGCAGAGGTCACTGTATCAAGACTGAGATGGCCAAAGAGAAAGGCCAACAAGACCCACACATCCCAGAATAGAGGGTTTGTCTGGCAAAGTAGACACACATGGTGAGAGTGAGATAGTGAGATGCAAGCTGTTGCTTATTCCGCACGCGTGCTTCA